AGGTCTCGAAAAACCCCTTCGTGCTGCTGCCGCAGCCTCGCAGTTCGCTCCATGAATGAGCCTAGCCGGAGTAACTGAAGGGGTTAAGGCAAAGCGATTTATGAACATTCCAAAAGTCGGTTGCAAACCGTGATTGAGATCAAAATATGATTGACATTTTTGGAAGAATATTTTGCTCCATGAACGAGACCATTTTCAAGGAAATCGATGAGAGATATACAGGGTGATCCAGGGTTAAACGGTCGGACGGCAGGAGCTGGAACACCCCCAAACCCCCTCTTTAAATTGAGATTTCGATTTTCTTAAGATTATCATGGATTCAGGGCATAAAAGTACAGGAAAGTACACATTTTCATGAGATTTGCTTCGCAACCGTTGCCAAAATTCAGGAAAATTGATTTACTTCCCGAATTTTGTTTTTTTTTGGGGGGGGGCGTAGCTCCGACTGGAGGCACTTTCGGAAAAAAAAAAAAAAAACTTTACACAACAAAAAAGTCTTATTTTGACCCATAGATCACGCTATTGCAGTCTGACCGTTTAACCTTGGATCACCCTGTATATGCACTCAATTTATGTCGTCTATTTCTTTCCAAGATGCCCGAAATACGGATACCAGTGGCGTGGCGTGAATGATCGATTATCGATATTTCTCCATTTGAAGGTATGCTGAAAAATCGATTATTAAGGTGTTCGTTGCGAACACCCTGTATATCGATCTTTTTCCATAGGTTTAAATGACAGATCAATCGATATATCGCAAAGCACGCCACGCAACTGACGGATACCTCCTTTTTTCTATGCCATGAATAATCCATAAAATCCATAACTCATTCAATAAAGCGTTCCATTATGTACACAAGGGTTTCAATCTACTTTATCCGAAGAGGAATTCAGCTCGTCTCGAAACGAATTCCACGATGAGAAACGTTGAATAGACGTCCTTTCCGATCCACCTGGACTTTTCTCTCGGCGCAAGTTGGAAAGTTTAAGAATTTCCCCGAGAAGAAAGCGAAAAAAAAAACTGCGTCCAAGTTTCAAGTTTGGAAAATCGCGAATCAATCTGTCTAACTATCAGAGACCGATGCTTAAAAAATGTTTAAAGAGGGAACGCAAAGTTATCAAAAGGAGGAGATGCGATGGGGAGGGGGGAGGGCTGCGACTTTAAACCCGAGCACGATTTAGGTCACAGAGCAGGGCTGGAATTTGCGCGAGCTTTGCTCCGAAGTTTCAACAATTCAAATCCTAATTGAAACGGCGCACAGTGCAGCCGAAAGAGCGAAGAGAGAAGTACTGCCGTGCTAAGGAGGAACGCCGTATGAACATTCGAGAGTTGCCGAATTACCTCTCAGAAAAGAGTTATTTTTGAAGAAAGTTATGAATATTTTTCCTTGAAATTTTCAGGAACTTTAGGTGAAATTGCGAACAAAATTATCTGAAAAATTGGAGGAAAAATATTTACAAGTTTTCCATAAAATTGGTGATTCACCAGAGGAAATTTAGCAAAGCCTGAAGGTTCATACACGGCGTTTTTCCTTAACACGGCAGAGTGAGTGTCAAACGTTCGAAATCGAGTTTCATTCAAAATTCGTCCGATCTCTTTTGGATGAAATCACAGAAATACTAAAACAGCAAAATTCATCTCGATTGTATGAAAACGTCGAGACATGTGAGAAATCCATAAATGCGCAAAAAATGACGTAGTTTCCGACAGAACAGTTGTAGGTGACGTTATTTTTGCATTATTTTTTGGTGCCGTTTTAATTGCATATCGATGGTGAAGCTGCAGGAACGCGTACGTCGGTTTGTGGCGTTGCGTCGTTACTTCATTCTCTACGTCGCTAACTGCTGAAGGTAACGTCACAGTTGAAATTTCACCAGTTGAAATCACTGAAATAGCTGAAACAGCAAAATTTATCCTAATTGTAAGAAAATGAGACTTTTGAGAAATCCGTGTGTGCGCAAAAAATGACGGAGTTTCAGGTCAGACAGCAGTAAGTGACGATATTCCCCTAGAAAGGCAATGAAAAGAGTGCTTTCAAGTAAAGTGCCGCCCTCTTCTGGCAAAATCTAACCTGAAAAGGTGTTTGTCGTGTGTCCAAAACGCAACCACGAAAGCATGCAGAAGATAGCACTTACGGCTATCTTGCCTAACAATAGTCCAGCATGAAAGCGAAAAATACCGTTTTGTGTAATTGAAATAAAAGCAGACGATAGTTAATCAGCGGCACGATTTCTCAACGTCTTTCGGACGATTAATGGCAAATTGACAAAGAACGAAGGCTCACTGGAAAAAAACCATATTGGATCTAGAGTCCAGACTCTTAAAAACATCGACAAGAAAAAATATACTCTTGATTCAATCAGATTTAAGCTTAAATCAAGAACCCAGCCTCTTAATTTGAGCGGATTGCTTTTTGATTTAAGCTTAAATCTGATTGAATCAAGAGTAGTTTTTCTTGTCAATGTTTTCAAGAGTCTGGACTCTAGATCCGATGTGTTCATTTCTTTCCAGTGCTTTTTTGAATAAAAGTTTCCGGTCAGAAGCTTTTGAGCTAGTTCTCTCAAAACTTCATTTTTGCACTTAGTGCCCTCTTCGCTATCACGGCAGATGAGCTTTCAACGCTTCCACATCATATCGGCGACCTTTCTCAATAATTTACTCCACTGTGCGACGGAGGTCGGGGAAGGGGGGGGCGGTTTGAGGGGTCCAAGGCCGCGGGAGAGCCCGCGGTATGAGGGGGCGGGAGGTAAGGATTGGGGTCTCCCCGGCTCGGCAGTTGATAAAGCGGGACGACAAACTAACAGTAATTTTGAACCCTCCGCCTGATCACGAAAAAAGCTCTCGGACGTTTAGTTTATTTCCTCCTTATTGACTTCCAAATGCGCCTTATTGCTCCTGCTTAATGCACCCGGGGGGCGGCAGAGGCGGGCGTGAATAATCGATTATCGATATTTCCCCATTTGAAGCTACGGTAAAGAATCGATTATTAAGGTGTTCGTTGCGAACACCATGTTAATCGATTCTTTTCCATGGGTTTAAATGGCAGATCAATCGATATATCGCATAGCACGCCATGACTACTGGGGGGTGGAGGGGGGGGGGCTCGAGATGCTTGTGCTTTTCTTGGCACCGAAGGGTCTCCTTCCTCGGGATTTTGGCATTTCTCACCGTATTATTTCTATATTTGAGGGCAGTGGTGCGATGGTAGTTCGGAACGATGCACATATATTGTATCGTTTGCAGCGACACATGTGTGTCTCGTTGCTTATTCTAGGGAATGAGGGGGAAAAGGTGGCTCTGTGGCGCTGTGGAGAACGGTTCAACGGTTGATTCGTACATGGGCCTGTTGCAAACTTCAGCTAAAGCAAAAGGAAGAGTTCTCTCGTATGGAAAATTGCTAAAATATCACAATGAGCGCATCGGAAAAGGCACATTCCTGATGAGGCACACATTCTAGCACTAGAAAAAAAAACACATTGGATCTAGAGTCCAGATTCTTAAAAACATCGACAAGAATAAATACTCTTGATTCAATCGGATTTTTGCTTAAATCAAGAACCAAGCCTCTTATAATTTGAGCGGATTTCCTTTTGATTTGAGCTTAAATCTGATTGAATCAATAATATTTTCTTGGCCAAATTTTTCAAGAGTCTGGATCTAAGATCCGAAAGACTTTCTTTACAGTGAATAAATACTCTCGCTGCATTGACATCCTCGATTTTACGCACAGGGAGAAAGGAGAAACGAACAGTAGTAAGAAAAACAACAAAACCAAAAACCACAATGTCTGAAACGAATACAAATTCACGATCAAAACACGGAAAGAAAGAGTCGAGAAAATAAGAAAAGGAAGATTCTAACGACCGTGAATTCGGAGCGACCGAGGACGGTGGAAAGAAAAGCGCGAGAAAATTAGAGAGCAAACAGGTCAAATCGGAGGGATAAAGAGACGGATGACAAAAACGTGGAACAAAGGCGAAAAAAATAAAATAAAAGATAAAACCAAGAGGCTTACCCTCATCGTTAGACTTTAGATACAGTCTACCCGTAGGACTGAGGTTTTGACGGGATCGTGCCGTGTAGCTGTCTATTTGAAAACATAAATCAAAAAATGAAACATCGTGCGTAAATAAAAAGAAAACATGAGAGAAAAGAAACAAAACAAAACAAAACGAGGGTGAAATCAAAATAAGAGGGATTGCGGGGAAGGGGGGGAGAAAACTTGAGAAAAATCTCGGCGAACCCGACGGAAATGACGGGGTGGGCGGGGGGAGGGAGGGGGGTCTCAAAGGGACGTGGTTCATATCTGGTACGTATGTCGCGATGTTGAATGCATGATTAAATAGACGAGGATTGGTGTTGCCAAAATGGTAACCGACAAAAACAGTCGAGGTGCACATGGGGAAAGTACGGACGTGTCGGTAATTGTGAGGTTAGGTCATGGAGCTTTTAGGGCCCAAAAGGGTGGTCAACCTATGAATTCAAATCAACTCTTTCCAGAGTGATTTATTATCACCATTTTTACAACCCATCGTTCGAAAATACGTATTCGACTTAATTTTTGCATAAATTTACTTCCTTCGCAGAAAAACACTCATCTAATGAACATTCTTTCAATGTTTCTTAAAAAACATTTTAAAGTTGAATTGTTTGGTGTACATGCGTGGAAAAACCATATTTCAAGAGCTTTTAATCGGTACCAGAGCGGTTCAGATCGAATAAGCGGCTCCGAAAATACTGACACTTAATTGAATGGGACCTCCGTTCTTTTACTCGAACTTTAAAGCTCAATGAAACTACAACTAATGGACAAAAACATTAAAAAACCAAATTTTTGGAATCAGCTCAATGAGTAGAGAGAGTATACAGAATTTCATCAAATTCTGAAGAGGTTGGGTCAAACTTTGGTTTGATTTGGCATGGAATGACCCTTAAACATCTTGGTTTGATATTGGAATTTGAAGATTGGCAGTTACAACTTTTGTGTCAGAGGGCTGGCTGCCCTTTTGGGCCTCAAAAGCTCCATATTTCCACACGTCCGAACACTCTCTATATGGGCACTATAGCTCCATATTTTGGCATGTCCGTACTGAAGTTTTAATGAGCTTGTTCAGTAGTTTTTTTTTTTTAATTTTTGAAAAGCGTAGGGACAGCAGTTCGTTTACAGGAATTTTCCCAGATTCACTTAACAATATAAACCCGCGAAGAAACGAGTTCAAAGTTGCATATTTGGAGCTCTCATTAAAACCTGGATTGCTTTAAACGCAAAGATTGAATTCGAGGAGGAATGCCGTATGAGCATTCAAATGTTGCCAAATTTCTTCTCAGAAAAGATTTACTTTGGACGAAAGTTACAAATATTTTTTCTTGAAATTTTCCGACTCTTTAGATGAAATTACAAACAAAATCCTCCGAATAATCGAGAGAGAAATATTCCCAAATTTTCCGGGAAATCCGTGATTTGTCGAAGGAAATTTGGCAACGCCTGAAGGCTCATATGACGTCCTTAGCACGGTCTGCGGTGGAGGAAACACATGTACGATCGAGCTCACGGTCGCTACGAGAGAGATATTTTCAGACGTCATCTTGGCGTTCTCGGCGATGGAGTGATAGCTCACAATAAGTAACTTTGCACTTGTTTTCGAGGTTATGTTTAATATCCCTAGAAAATATCCAGTATATTTTCGTAGTTTACTGTCTACTTTTTAAAAATGCAAAAGTTTTAAGATTCCTAAACTAGCTCATAAGTATATATTAGACCCAGAAAGAATGTATTTTCAAGAAGGGCTTTAGATAAATTGGGCTTCCGGTTGATTTTTCTGGACACTCAATTTAAGTCTGGTTACAAACTTGGCAAAAGCTCAAGAAATATTTAGAACCAAGCATTTTCCTGCTATTTATCCGCTGAAAAAGTGTGCGGCAGTAGAAAATGTTTTTCTCTACGGGCGTTAGTTGCTCGGTCTCTGCTTGAAGGGGGGGGGGGGAGGACACGAGACAACACTCAAAGCTGCTTAATGATGGCTGGAGAACATGGCGTTAGGAAGTTTTTGAATGTAGTTTATCAAACGAGGTCTTGATTCAACCAGTGCCACATCGGATTGTTCCGACCTGGTTTCAGGACATTCCGTCAACGATTTTTTGTCCGGGCACCTGTTTAGTCCAGTAATTTACGTCCACGCTTAAACTAAGAAACAATGACCTGGTCCAAATGTTATATTCCAGCCCGTATGTAAAATTATACTGCCAATATCGAATTAGAAAAGTGAGAGAGAAGAAGGTGTTGTTACGGTAACTCATTTTTTAAATGAAATGTTACTTTCTTCTTTTTATTCATCTTTCAAATTTTCATTTGTGAATATTTGGTTTTACTTCTGTCTATAAAATGGTCGATTTAAAATATACCGTATGTATGTACCTTTTTTACATGATAATATTACTTCATTTTAAAAACATTAGATTTTTAAAACGTGGCAAATATTTGTAAAACCTTTTCCAAGCGATGGCATCGATATTAATCTCGATCTCCAATGAGCCGTACTTGTGTTGAAAGGAGCCATACAAAAATGAAAAAGAGAGATAAAACCAATGTGGACGCACTCTTTGGTTTTATCCCACTTTTAAATCGATCTTTTACAGTCAAACACGTCCAATTTTGAGCGTTTGGTTGCGAATACACCACGCTGCAGCACAGTAAAAGCACAAAATATAGAGGACAAATTAAAAAGCTTCGGAAATCACTAAATTAGACACGGAACCACCTTAATATTTTCAAAACACACGTTATATTTTCCTATATTACATATTTTTTTTTCATCAATTTAAATGAGAATAATCCGCGCAGAGCGTGCAAACATTTCAAAATCATGAGTTAAAAATCGCTGACTCCGCGAGTTTAAATGTTATAGCCTTACACAGAGCGAGATACGCAATGGCGCCTACAAACCTAACCGGATACTTCACGCGTTGCGCATTGCGTGAAGTATCCCTGTTAGGTTTGTAGGCGCCTATACGCGTGTTACGCTGGTCGCTCGCCGCGCCGCGCCGCGGAGTGCTACGACGTTTCAAGCAACTATTTTGCGACATAGGTGCTGCACAGTATCATACGAGATTGAAAGCGCTCCAACGTATCATGAATGACAAGCTGTATAGGGCAAGCTGACAAGCTGTTAAGGGTACAGAGCTTTCCTTGCAAAATAAATCAAGATACTACGTTACAAAAAGAAAGCGGTAATCTAAAAAAACTCACTTAGTCCTGGCATCCGTATTTAATAACTTTTAGCATACTTTTTGAATTTCATTAGAGAAAAATGTGACTCGATTTAGGCAGGAACATTATTGAGTATGCCGGCAAGAAGATTTTATTTTGAATCAAGAATAAAATAGCTGAATGAAAGCAGGTTTCGGCTTGATCTAAGTGACTTTTCTTTTTATTTAAGCATCCTTTTTTCTCTAAACAGGAGTTATTTACTTTACTGATGTATAAGGAAATCATCTCGGCCGTGTATTTGAGCATATTTCTGCTTGAATCAAGTCACTCTTTCCTCTAATTAATTTCAAAAACCATGCTAAACATTACTGGATCCAGATACTAGGACTTAGCAAGTTTTTCGACTACAGCTCTCTTTTTTTCGTCGTCACTAGATTTAATTTGCGAGGGAGCTTTGTGCTTTTGAAAGATGCCATCAATCACGATACGTTGGGGTGCCTTCAATCTTGTATGATACTGTGCAACACCTTCATGGCGAAATAGTAATTTGAAGCGCCGCGGCACGCCGGCACCGTCGCGTAGTTATCGTACATGCACAGGAAAAATCTAAGAGCCTTTAGCTGAGGAATACTAAAAGGTTCATCGGGTTCAGGTGTAAGAGGATGGGATTTTCTTGAAAGATAATTAAGTCCTGTTGCATCAAAAAGGTGTAGAGAGTTATAGTGAATTTTCCCTCATATAATTGACGCCAAATTCTCAATTATATATTTGTTTCCGTTTGGCCAACCAAACAAACAAAAAACGAGCAAACCCTCATTCTTCCAAGACATTATACATCTCATCCAAAAACGTCATGAGCAAATGTTGTTTGTATTTACATGTTGACCAATTAACTTTGGGTCTCAATAATTGATAAGTGGACCAAAACTCCCCTGCCGAAAACACGCGTGGACTTAAACTACTGGAAAAAACAAGTGCTCGAACAAAAAATCGTTGACGAAATGTCCTATAACCTTCCGAGATTTTTATAATCTACATACATGGAATCTAATTTAAGAAGAAAAAGGTTTTTTGCTTTCTTAAATGGAAAGAGTCACAGTATTTCTCATTACCTTAAAAAGCAGCGTAAGCAAAAATTCTGGAGCCTGAACACTGCAAAAGACCTCTTCGGTAAAGATATGCTGTCAGAACTTTCAGACCACTACGAGCCCTTAGTTGCCCAAGCCGTGTCAAATTGACCCGACGATTGCTAAAAACACGTACCCTGCGGAGCATTGCCTCGCGCCTTCAATTTTGCAAATGCAACAAGGACATCCGTCAAGCACAAATAGTCGCATCTCTGCGCCGTCATCAACGCGCGTTGATGTGTCTCTTATTTTTGAAATTCGAGAAAAGTTAAGGTTAAGTTTGCTCAGAATATACGATGATGTATCCAAATCAATAGTCATTTTGAATAGAAAAAAAGTGTAGATATCTCTCAAGCGATCTGGAGGAGGCATGTATAATTATTAGTATTTTGGCGGGAGTTGGGTGGTATCAGAGAATTTTTATATTTGACGTCTACCCCCAGGAATTCCAAGCCGTGCCAAATAGACCCGACTACCTCTTTCGGGGTGGTTACAGATGGCGGATGAGAAAGTATCAGTATGTTACCTAAGATATAGAAATTAAAAAAAAAAAAAAAAAAAAAAAAAAAAAAAACCCAGATTTTTTTCTTTCAAAAACATCAAAGTAACATAGATAAGACTTCAAAAACTCTCAAAACCAATGTATTTACATACGGATCAATAAGACTCGATTTGGGATTTTGCGTTCAAAAAAAGTATTGGGCATCTAAGGGTTATTCATAGTTTAGTCTCCGTGGCAAATGAGCTGAGGAGCTACTGTTCCCGGCTCATTCATAAAAACACTTATCTGCACAGGAAAACGAATGGAAAATATGTTGCTCTTAAAATGAGCCAGTCAAAAAAAGTAGTCCAATTAAAACTTCCCTCAAAGACGGAAAAACTCGATATTAGCAATGCACATGTTCTCGCCGGTAACACTTCATTTTATGTCAATGGGTCGACCGACGACGCACAATGGACCGAATCAATGGGCGAGGTTGGACATTAATTTTTTATTAAAACTGCAAATTCAGCTGTTTATTTCGTCAAATATTAAATTTTGAGGGGTGATTCATTTCGTAAATTTAACGAAAAAACCAATGGGACCATTCCAAGACCTCAAAATTTTGTAACAACGGAGTTATGAGCTTTTAAAGTTTCCTTTGTCCGACCTCTCCCATTGACTCGATTCACTGTGCGACGTGCCTAACAATGAGAAGAATGTCTATTTGAATCAGAAGGAACTTCCACCAATGAATTGAGTTCTTTCATGCCACGGCACAGGGTTTTACGGAATCAGTTCATTTCACGTAAAATTTTGAGAGAAACACGATCGTACCTCTGGTTTTCTCTAGAACAAATTCTCGAAAGGCTGCAACGTTGCAAACCGAGAAAAGTGGTTTGGAAGTTTCACCATCGACATACATCGCAAGTCCCTGAGGCATGCAAGAGTTCAATTCTGACGTGTTAAGGGAAAACGCCGTATGAACCTTCAAGCGTTGCCAAATTTTCTCCCATAAAACGTGAATTCCCTGGCACACTTATGATATTTTTCTTCCAATTTTTCAGAGAATATTCTTTGTATTTTGATTTAAAGTCCCTGAAAATTCTAAGGCTAAAATGGCGAGAAATATAGTAGAGGAATATCTATAAATCTCATTTGAATAATTTTGTGAGGAGGTCAGATTGATCCTGTTCATATATCTGGGCTTAATCTATAAAAGTACATTCAAAAAAATGAAACAAATAGTCAAATTTCTGAGATAATAAAAAAGATCATTCCAGATCTAATCATACAGTTGATAAAACATGAATTCTCTGGCAAACTTATGAATATTTTTCTTCCAATTTTTCAGAGAATATTCTTTGTATTTTGATTTAGAGTCCCTGAAAATTTTAAGGGAGATAATTCATAATTTTCCTCATAAATAAACATTGCATCGAAGGTAATTTCGCGACTCTTGAGTGTTCATACGGCGTTCTTCCTTGGCACGGCAGAATTGCTTTGCGTGGGAACATGTGCGACGAGCAGCTCCTTTTGATTCAGATAGAAATTTTCCACGGTGAAAACGAAAATCGGGGCCATGAGGGTGAGGGGTGGGGTGGGGGGGGGCTTAAAATGGCGAGGATTTTGATAGTTACCTCCGTTCATGAGCTGTCCCTGCTGGAGCTGAACAGCGACGCCGAAACCGCCAAGTTTGACGGGGGCCGAGTTGGCTTTGCTGGCGAGAAGAACACAGTGCGGTTTCATGTCCCTGTGGATGATGTCGTTCTCGTGGCAGTACCGCAGGGCGTCCAGGATCTGACGCATGTAGTGACTGCAACAAACCACACGACCAATTAGTCAAACCGAGACCTAAAACTTTCGGAGGCGACAGTGATTGCACGGTTCAGAGCACGAACAGGTTGAACTACATCTACACGAGTTCACCACTCTTCAAAAAAACAAAAATCCTTGATGATTCCGTGATTTCCAAAACCAAAATGGAAAAAAAATCTCTAATTATTGGAAATTAATATTCCTGTGATTTTCGTAAGAGTTATCGTAGAACTTTCGGAGGTGACAGTGATTGGCACGGTTCACTGAAAAAAAATTATCGGCGTTTTTACCAAGGTCCGTTGGTACCTTTACCATCTCACTTTTTTTTACCAATTCTTGGTAATGTTACCAAGACAGACTGGTAAGCTTACCTAAAAACCGGTATTTTTACTGTTTTTTTTTTTTCAGGTAAGAATACCACATTGATCGGTAATCAATTCTCGGTAACTTTGCCATTTTATCTCGGTAATTCTACCACAGTCGCTAAAAAATATCGTCGTTTTTACCAAGGTCCAGTAAAATTACCGAGAAAGTTCAATTATTTTACCGAGATTTCTCGGTAAAATTACCAATTCCATAAATGGTAATTTTATCAAGAAAAAACTGGGATCAAATAGAACCCTGAATTCTTGGTAATTTTACCCTTTTCTTAGTAAATACACCGAGATTTTTTTTTCAGTGTTCAGAGCAAGAACACCTGGTTTAACTACATCTACACGAGGTCCACCTTCAACTTTTTAGGTAGGTAATCAGCCAAAGTGCTAAAAAAAAATGTGTAAGCATTAACTTACATAAAACTGCTTTATTCGATTATAATGTCTGGTCACAGCTTTTCGGTGCTACTGCCATCTTCAAGACCTTAGTAGCGAGAAAACTAAATTTAAATACATTTTTCAATTTTAAAAAAACAACTTTTCAATTTAAATACATTTTTCAATTATCAATATACAACTTTTCACTTTTCAAGTTGTTTATTGTTAATTTATTGAAGTATGTATTTACATTTAGTTTTCTCACTACAAAGGTCCTGGCGATAGCAATAGTGCCGAAAAGCTGTGACCAGACATTGTAATCGAATAAAGCAGTTTTATGTGATTTAGGACTTACACATTTTTTAGCACTTTGGCTAATTTTACCTACCTAACAAGTTTAATCAAGTGATAAGTGCTACTACCAATATATGTTACAAATTAATAGTTTTATTTTTCTCAGTGGAAACAGAATGTGTGATTTCTTTCGCATGTTGAAAATCAGTTGGTAACAGTGCAGCGACCTGCCGCGGAAACAAAAGCATAGACCAATACTTAAGTCGGACTAAAGTTCTTACAGGTCACAGAAAAACTTTAACGACGTTCACGTTAAGAAACCCCCTATTGTTTACCGGCTATTTCCCGTTAATTCCCTTTCCCGTCGAAATAGCGTGATGCGGCCGGCAGGGCTTAGAGGACGTCGCTAGACCGGAAGCTATTTGAGTGCCCCGGATTGGAGAGCTTTCGAACTTTGATAGCTGCGAATAAATAGAGCTTGGAGATGACAATTTCCTCTCCTCGATTTATCCTTNGGGGGGGGGGGGGGGTGTGTGGGGCCAGTGTCTGGCTTTTATTGGCCCAATTATTGGCCGTGCTGAGGAAGAACGCCGTATGAGCCGTCACACGTTGCCATATTTCCTTCAAGAAAAAACGGAATTTACCGAGAAAATGGAGATGTTGCATGTGTGAGGAATTTGCGATTTGACTGTTGATTCTTGTGTAAAACGTCGCGAGAAACACGATGGTGCCACTGGTTTTCTCTGAAATCAACTCCCAAGCTCAAAAAAAGCTCACAAGCTGAGGCCAAAATGGAGGGGATATCCTAGGGAGCAAATACATTAGCAGGGTTGCCGTATTTTAAGTTTTGGAGTCCCCGAATAACGTGGCAGCCCTGTCAACGTATTTGCTCCCTATCTTTGCATGGAGAGTTTGTCTTGATGTAGAGGTGGACTCTCAGGATAGCATGGGATATCCCCTCCATTTTGGCCTCAACTTGAGCGCTTTTTTTAGAGCTTGGGAGCAATTGATCTCAGAGACAACCAGTGGGACCATCGTGTTTCTCGCGACGTTTTACATAAGAATCAACAGTCAAATCGCAAATTCCTCACACATGCACATCTCCATTGTGCATATTTTTCTCGAGTTTTTCAGTCAATTTTGTTGGCGATTTAATCTAAAATGTCTGAAAATTTCTAGGAAAAATATGCATAACTTTCCTCAAAAACACATGATTTAATCGGGGAAATTGGGCAACTCTCGAACGTTCATAAGACGTTTTTCCTCGTGTCCATTTGTGCCATGTGCTGTTGTGCCTAATTTCATAACTTGACTACTGGTCCATAAGATATAATGATGGGTAGAGCCTATTATATTTCAAATAAATGTTGCCATTTTAGAGCATTAGTTCAAATTATGAGCTGATGGTGCTCACGAATGGGATATTTGAAATGAGCTTTTTAAGATGCTTATGCTACTTCCGTTCATAAAAGCCCAACCTTCATAAGGCGCTTACTCTATTTACTTCTCGGGGCCATCGGAGACACGATCTTCGAAAGTTGTTATTTACTGGCGCTGACAAACTTGAGTACGCGATTTCTGTCGCCAAGTTTGATGCATACCGAAAATATCGCAATTACGACTTAAAAACTCATCGAATTCGTCCATTCACGGAAAAAAAAGTAGGTATCACTATCACAATCTCAACTATTCTCTTGACTGATTTTGGCGCCAATTGCGAGAGTAGTTGCAACAGTCAAAGGTATTGTTGTGTAAGTCGAAAGTGTGGTAGGATCAACTATACCTCTGTCTAGTGTATAACTGCTGTTATAACTGACGCAAAAGTCAGTTAGAAGTATAGTTGAGATTGTGATTCTTTTTTTTTCAGTGTTCGATACCAAATATTTCACAGATTCTACTGCGAAAGTCTTTTCTTTCAAGTTTTTTTTTTTTTTTTTTTTTTTTTTTTTTTTTGAGATGTTAGAAAGGATAAGATGGTTGTTTATAGAGGTAATTTTTAGCACGCTGGCGCTGGGTCTGTAAATGACCTCAGTTTTTTCTGTGTATTCCCCCAATTTTTCCAGAAAATTGAGATTTTCCTAAAAAACGGATTGTTACTAGGAAAATGCAACTTTCCGGTGCAAAACTGGTGTATGAAAAAGAAAAACCAAGATTACTGCCGGACTCAGCTGCCCAAAATACATATGATCACATAAGTAGCGTGTATGTATTTACGTTTTCATTTGTGCTTGATAACCAATAAATACTCTGGGCCATATGAACATATTTATGCTGAAAGGAACTATGTGCATAGAGATTCCGTGTAATATAGTTCCTTTTAGCGTAAATACGTCCATATGTAAAGCTTATTATGCTACTACGTACCTTCCTACGAACCCTCCTACTTTTAGGCAGCAAAAATTTAACTAAGGCACCACTCGCAATCATGTTAATTTATTTTTATTTCACCAAAACATGTTTTGGAATACCTTTACTTTTTAAAGTAAATTTATAAAAGGGAAAATTTACATTTTTTTTAGAAGATTCTTCATGACGTGGTGATTTTTTTGTTCCTCGACTTATTAATTATTTAAATTCTGATTTTGAAAAAAAAATAAAAAATAAAAAAATAAAAAAAAAAAAGTTTCCAAAATCATAGATGTTAAACATATCTTTTGAGAGTTAATGAACTGAGTTTGTGCAGAGTCGTTTATACTCGGGTCAGGGCAGTGGCGAGGCGTGAAAAATCAATTATCGATATTATCCCATTTGAAGCTGTGGTAAAGAATCGATTTATAAAGTGTTCGTTGTGAAAACCTGTCTATCGATCATTTTCCATAGGTTTGAATAGTAGATCAATGGATTGGGCAGTGGCGAGGTGTGAAAAATCGATTACCGATGTTACCCATTTGAAGCTGTGGTAAGGAATCGATTTATAAGGTGTTCGTTGTGAACACCTGTCTATCGATCCTTTTCCATAGGTTTAAATAGTAGATCAATGGATTTATCGCAACGCACGCCACGCCACTGGTCGGGGCAACGAGCTAGCAAGTACCGACCCGAGTAATGGGCCATTAACGTGCCGCGCCCGCATTGGAGGAGGAGTGCGGAGGATTTCAATAAGTAAGAATACAGGGTTAAACGTGGCAACAAGGCGCAGCGTCGCGGCAGCGTGGAAGCCACGCCCACTAAGCTGCGCTACTTTATAACGTCGCGACGCAACATTAAAGCGGCACCGCGACGCCTCCGTTGAAGTACCGCGATTTCGACCCACCACACTCACAGTTTCCGTAGTGTAGTGGTTATCACGTGCGCTTCACACGCGCAAGGTCCCCGGTTCGATCCCGGGCGGAAACAAATTTTTGACATATGTTTTTTTAAACAATTGAATTGAGTAACAATAATTGAGTGATAAAATACATGCTACATAATAAAATTTTAGATATATTATGAGTAGAAGATGATGATTGACTATACGGAGAGAAGACGGAAGTTCTCACGGTTTCCTTTATTAATTATGGTTATGCACAGTGACATGGCGTGCTTTGCGATATATCGATTACTCTGCCATTTAAACCTAGTGAAAATGATCGGTAAGCAGGGTTTTAGCAACGAACACCTTAATAATCGATTCTTTACCATAGCTTCAAATGGGGAATTATCGATAAGCGATCATTCACGTCTCGCCACTATACTTATGCACGGCATACCATTTAACGTGGCAGTTCTTAATAGGCATATAGAGTGCATTTTATTAGTTTAGTTTCTATTTTTACGTCGTCAATTTTTCTAATCATTTGTTAGCTTTAAACAATTTTTGGAGCTTAATTTTAGCTTTAAATAATTTTTTGGAGCTTAATTTTAGCTTTAAATAATTAATTAGTTGTTTTTTTTATTTAATTATTTTTTTTAACAACCAATTTCGGCGAGTTTTTTTAATGTTCAGGGTTTAAAGTTAAGTCACGGCTTGTTG